TAAAAATGACAATAACAACAATAATGATGATAACAATAATTATGATAATGATAATGATAATGAAAATAGCAATAATGATAATAATGATGATAATATTAATAACAATGACAATGATAATGATGATAGCAAATGTAATGATAATGATAATAGTAATAACAATAAAAATAATCAAGATAATAGTAGAAATAACGATTATAATAATGAAAATAACAGTGATAAGAACAAGCGATAGTAATAATGATAATGATAATAACAATAAAAAATATGAATAACAGTTATGATGATAATAACAATCACGATAATGATAATGGTAAAAAACAGTGATGTTTATGATAATAATCATGATGATGATACTGTAATTACATTTTTTTGAGATTTGAAAAAATAGCTTAACTTCCAAATTTATCAATTAAGAAAATAACCAATATTAGTTGTTGTTTTTAACACAACATAATTGTTCAAGAACACAAGGGTGTCATACACAGCTATAGTACACAATCAGATTAAGAGATAGATATAATATACGAATGCATTCATTATATATAAAGATATGTGTATATATGACATGGCGAAAAGTGATTGCTCTCTTACGAACACGAAGCTGTTCCAGGTATATATATATATTTTTTTTTTTCATAATGCTATCCTTGTGGAAGCCATAATTAGGAACACTAATACAATAGACCAATCCTTTGTAGAATTCGAATAGGTCTTGTTATTATCATCATCATTATTGTTATAATTATTATCATCATTAATATCATTATTACCATTATCATTATCATTATCATCATTATTATCATTATCTTATTTTATCTTTATTTTTTACAAAATTACTTAAAAATATGGTATGAAAGAGAATGAATACTTTCTCGGTACAAGAGATGTATTTCACCGGTTAAAATAACATAAATATATAGATTTCTAACGGAGATATATGTAAAAAAAACATCACTGTCAAAAATATTCGTTCACACTCATACCTTTTCGTACATTCCAATAATATCACCTGAAGTTCTTAAAACCATTTTTTTTTTTGAAAACCATACACAGAACAGACTTACATAATCCCTTTTAGGGTTTGAATATTTCTTGCCGATATTTTCCTACAGTTATGAATACCAGCAAAATTTCCCCAAATCTAATCGACACAATTCTATTTGAGTTCTTGACGTGTTGCAGACTGTTTGTTGCAAAGTTGAATGACGTGTCAAAATGATCACAACAGTAGGGGGGGTGTTTCATGAATTCTCTTCTTCACAAGGACTTTATAGCGACTGAAGTAATTTATTCAGTTTGAATATCAGGTGCTAAATGTCGTTCGCCTCATTAGCATTCGGTGGCTTTTGCAGGTGGGAGGCTTAGAGAGGGAGAGGGAGGGAGGAAGTGAGGGAGGGAAGGAGGGAG